CAAGGTTTGCCCCAAATGCACATATCTAGTGGAGAGCTGAATATGCCAGCCATTTGAAATGCTCTTGGTGTTGGAAACTCACATCTAAGTGAAAGAACAAAGCCATTAAGAGGAGGTCACAGACCAGGAAAAGACAAACATGCATGATCCACTTACAAAAACCAGGTTTCAATTAAAAAAATGTAATTGCCTATATTAAATCTCCAATGTCTATTCAAATAAGCTATATCAAGACTCACTTATCTGTGGGTTTATTTGATTTCCCATGATCACCACAATGTAGTTTGTGAATCTCTTGGTTCTTCGATGTGATTCTATGTATATTAGGGCCAGAAGTTGACCTCCCACTTTTCTCTTATTATGGAAGTGTTTGTTGAGGAAGTGGTTAAAGGAAAGTTCCCCCACCATCTATGGGGCAGCAGGTGAAGAGATGGAAAAAAAATATAGCAATTTAGTATTATCCCTGTTTCTGGAATCCACAGGAGATAGAAATGGAACATATCCCCTACGGATCTTGCTGTATAAATAAAATCACAGCTAACAAAGATGGCTGGTAGAGGATTCCTTAGATTTACTGTTGCAAAGAGCTTAACCCACACTTGCTTATTTCATGATTTGCTCAACCATCACATAGCTGTAGTCTATGAAAGGGTTAGAGAAGGTCAACTGTCATGGGGAAAAGAAGATTCTCATGAGACAAATGCAATTTCATCCATACAATAATGACATGACCCTTGCTTTTCATACATCTCCTGAATATTTGTCAGTGGAGACTGCACGCATCAATAGAAAGCAATTTTCTGGACCCTTGGGCAAGAGGTTATGAGATGGAGACCATAGTGAGTCTATCTGTCAAGTTGCCCAAACCTTCTAGAAGACATTCCACCCACTGAAAATGCCTCTCAGCTGAAAGATATTCATTGACATTTCGAAGTTAGAAACTGAATATCTCCACGTTCTGCTTATTCACCTTCCCTTGCAAGGACTACACTTTGGAGTTATTATAACACATCTGGGCCTTTGGGCAAAGATCTAGTGGAGTATTATAATGCAGAGGTTCCAAACTTTTGTCCTTTAGATGTTTTGCACTTCATCTCCAAGAAATCCCAACCTTTGACCAAGGTGGCTGAAACTTTGGAGAGATGATGGTGCTGTCTACTTTTATTGTATGTTATGTTTTTTGCTTTTTATACATTGGTCTCCACTTTGAGTCCCAAGCCGGGAGAAAAGTTAGGTAGAAATAAATAAATGAATAATGAAGTCCCAACACTTGGAAGACTATAGCTTGGGAATCACTACCCTAAAGGAGGAGCACCCTTGTGGAGTTTGTCTAGCCATGCTCAAAGGATGGCAAAAAGCGTGGAGGCACGTAAATGGGGACACCAGACATGCCTCCAATATTCCCATTTCCAAAGTCCCTAACTTCCTTACAATAAATCAGGAGAGCTCATGGACTTGAATGAGGAGTCATTTCCATGCCATGCTTTCACTTCTTCTTAGGGAGTCCGAGATGCTTCTTTTGGGCCCAATCTACACTGTCATATAATCAAGATTGTAAGTCAAGATTATTTTATTTGAACTGGATTATATAGCAGTGTAGACTCAGAAACTGGATTATATGGCATCATAGATCCAGCTTCGGACAACCTCCTCCACTCCATCTCTTTGAAAAGAATGCAAAAAGGCATATGTCGTCTATCTTTAGTACACTGCTTATCTTTCCTTCTATAATTTCTTAAGTTTATGTCTAATTATCCCTATCGATTGGAAGAAGAAGGGAAACAGACAATTAGATATTTGAGAAGTGGTCTAATAAGCACAACAGACAGGTAGCAGATAAATTTTGCCAGTAACTGCCCACATTTTGAGACCAGAGTCTCTTTACTAGCCTTGCCAGTTGGTCTCTTGGATAGATCAATAGATCCCATTACTAGTACCATCTAAAGTAGACCAATTAAATAAATTGCTAAACAGCATATTAGCACTTCTACAAATCTCATTGATACAATGGATTGACTTTTCTTATGCTAAACAACTGGATTTAGGTTGTTGTAGGTTTTTGGGCTGTAGAACATGGCCCGAAAAACCTACAACAACCAGTTATTCTTGACATGAAAGCCTTCAACAATAAACTGGATTTAGGTCTTCTTAGTGGTGGTCTCAAGTCTTTTTAATATTCTCCACAGAGAATAGATAGGTTTCCACCATACTTAGTTTTAAAGTAGACTATGTATATGTGTGTTAATTTGTTTTGCAGACATTAAAGCCTTCAGACACCCAGAAGGGAAGGAAAAAAGAAGAATGGGCTCCTTCTGGAAGTCTTTGGGAGCCACAATTCACTTTCTAAATAGATTGCAAAAATTCCTCTCCACAGAGAGATTAAAATAAAAATAAAGATTTTTTTAAAAAAAAGATCTTCCTGCTAACTTCCATTTCCCCCTCCTTCACATTTTTGATACTTTTTTTTGCCTGAAAGTTCCCAGGGCCCCTAAAATGACTGAAACCGATTATTTAAGTCAACATTTTCTTGTGACGTGCTTGAAACTGTTCCTACTTTTCCGTTGTGTAACTGGATTGCTTCATTTGAATTTTACTGTTTTTGCCTCAGTTCTACTTATCTTAGTTCACCACCTGGGAAGGGATTTGCTCTGAAAAACATGGCATAGAAATACTTTAAGCAAATAAACTAAATATATTTCCCTGGGTGTTTACGTATGGTGCTCTGCTGTTCTTTTGTTTTAGGAGATGGGAGTATACACCCCTGCTGCTTTGCCTGCCATGATTCTGTTTGCAAAAACCTTCATGCTAACCTGTTTGCCCTGCCTTCCCAGCCAAATTGGTTTTGGGTGTCAGGTAGACACTCAGTTCCAGTTTCTCTTTGGAGAGGTGAGACTCATCCAGCTGGGCCCCTTCCCCAGTTTTGCCCCATTAGAGCTGGTTCAGTCAAAGTTTCTGAGATCGGCCTTGCAGGTACCTAAATGTGTTTCTAATGCCACCCTGCGACTAGAGACGGGTTTTATGAGAGTGGAGGCCAGGGTGTGGGTGGCCATACTCAACCTCTGGCTCAGACTATCCCGTGCACCCTTTGGTCTTGCCCCACTAACCATGAAGGATGACTTCCAATCCACATGGAAGCAGGCGGTAGCATCCAAAATCTCCTCATTGGGATTTTCTCCAGGTCTACTATTCGCTATGGATTACAATCAAGCCAAAGCACTTATTAAACAACGTATCACAGACACAGAGCGACAACTAGATCTGGCCTCGGTTCCAACCTTCCTTATCAATGAAGATAGCAGATATCTTGCCTCCCCTATGGCATATTTAACAAACTTAGAGGTTCCTATTCATCGAAGGGCTTTCACCCTGGCTCGATGCTCCGCTCTCCCATCAGCTGTACTTGAAGGGCGCTACCGGAGGATCCCTTTCCCAGAGAGACTCTGCCCCTGTGACTCGGGTCAAGTAGAAACAATAGAACATGTGCTCCTTCAGTGCCTGTTCTACAGGGATATCCGTGCCAGGCTCATCTTACCTCTGATATACAAGCACCCAGGCCATTCAGGACAATTTTATACCTCCCTTTAAACAAAAGGTGAAGCAAACTGCTTAAAAATCAGGATACAACAATGTTGCAAAGTTCTGTGCAGCAGCATACAAATCCGTCAGGGAATGACTAGTCCCAAAAGTTAACTGTGTGTCCAGTAATCTTCTTCCCTGAATCTACAGTTTGGAGATGGATCTGGGCATTGTATGTTTTTACCCTGTTTCCCCTTTCTGCTCCCTCACCCATATTGTGTTTTTAGTAGTTATATTTATATTTTTAATGTACCAAACATACCAAGTTTGTATGAAAATGTGACTATTTTCTGTGCTGGTCAGTGACTGAAATAAATGATTTGATTTGATTTGACTCGTCCAGTCTCCTTTCCCAATGCTAGTACAAAAGGAAATGGAACCGGTATTCACCTATGTTTACTTAGGATTCTCCCTTGTTGCTATTTTTTCCTTGAAAAAAGCAATGAGCTGTTAACAAGGGAATATGCTGCCTGGGAGAGTAGTGTGGTCTCCTTTTCAGGAGGTTTTTAAACAAAGGATGGAAGACCATCTGTTGGGAAACATAGGATTGTGTATTCTTTCCTGGCAGAATGCGGTTGGACTGGATGGCCTCAGGGATCCCCTCCAATCATATGTTTCTAGTATTCTAAGTGTTGGCAGGGGGCAGGGGGTGATAAATACTTGTTTTATGTGTCTAAAATTCTATATAAAGTATTTTATATGCATAGCTGGATCTTCTTGGTGACCAGAACCAAGATACAATGCTCTAGCATGCTGGTTTTGACATGGTACACAGTGACGGTTGGGGAAGAGAAGAGCTCATTTGCTAAAGAAAGCAGTTTAGAAGGTGACAGATCAGTGTCACCTTGACAGTAACAACTATCTACACTACTCTCCAATATTGCAACATCTATGGGCATAATATTCTTATATCCCACGCCATTGTAGTTATTCCTACCAACAGGATCATGGTCCAAATATGCAGATCTAATTCCCTCCTCCATTTATGCATTCTTTTTTTGTGTCAGTTGTCAGTTGTAGGAGCCCTCGGTGGCGCAAGGGGTTAAACCCTTGAGCTAGCAGGACTGAAGACCGACAGGTTAGAGGTTCGATTCCAGGGACAGCATGGATGAGCTCCCTCTGTCAGCTCCAGCTCCCCAAGCGGGGACATGAGAGAAGCCTCCCACAAGGATGGTAAAACATCAAAACATCTGGGCATCCCCTGGGCAATGTCCTTGTAGATGGCCAATTCTCTCACACTAGAAGTGACTTGCAGTTTCTCAAGTCACTCCTGACATGAAGAAGTTACATTGTGAGAAAAATAAACTTTTTTAAAAAGAACAACCCCTCTTTGGCCACCCAATACGCATTTACATAATGTACCGAACAACATTCCAACTGTCTATGGGAAATGACTCAAGGGGTTTCCCTTCTCTCGGACTTACAAACACAGACTGGTTTCAGAGAGGACCACTGGCTACTCTTTTGGCAAGTGATTGTTTTCTGTCCTTTCAGTTCAAATGCAGGCTGGCATTCAAACGTCAACGAGTCCCCATGGCGAAAGGTGGAGCCTTCTCTCCGGCCGTAGGCTGGCACCCCTGGATCTCCGCAGCCCCCTTGGTCGATCTCTGAAAGAAACAAAAACAGACAAGAAGAGAAGTAGAGGGAAAGGGACATGTATGTGCCCACCTTTTATTGATGGTTCTTGAGATTGCAGGATTTTTTCCCCTGATGCCACGTGTAATACCATTAAGGAAGCCTGGTTTGTTATGATTATTGGAATAATGTGTTGGAGATACATCTACTTTCCTAGTGGGATGACGTTTCTGTAAGAATGGCCACGCATCTCCTCTATGCAGATCTACAATGTCTACTTGCTCAGATGGTATGTTAACATCTTCAGTCCCATTTCTAACTCAGTTGATTCCCTTTCTGGGAATTCACTTTTCAACTCAATTTTCCAATCTGGTCTATCCAAAGCTCTCCAGAGCTGATCAACATTAAGGATGGAAAAGGTAGGATCACCAGATTGCCATCCTTGATATAAAAGGTAGGTTTATTGTTGTTTTCTTTTATTTGGCCAGGGAAGTGACACTAGTCTTTCCATTCATCATAGAGACCATCCACAAGTATAGCACTTTATTTATTTATTTATTTATTTGCACCCCGCAGGGGACTCAGGGCGGATTATAATGTACATATGCATAGCAAACATTCAATGCCATAGACACACAACATATATATAGACAGACATAGACGCAGTTTAACATTCCAGATTTTCTTGAGGGTATTTTGGCCACCAGGGGAGCGGTTCCTTCACCGACCATTTGTGACACTGATGAAGTACTTCCTCATTCTTTGCATGCTTGCTGGAGATTTTTATGGCCTCATAAATTAGTTAAATTTACCTCCCTGCATAAGGGGTACTTGACAGATGCAACTGTCTTTCGGGCTGCAAAGGTCGACAGCAAGCTATACAAATTGGTCGGACACTCACTCTGACTCAGGCTGGCTTCGAACTCATGACCTTTCGGGCAGTAGTGATCTTAATGCAGCTTACTCCCAACCAGCTGCGCCACAGTCCCGATGGGCTCCATGATAAGCGATCCTGGGATTTGTTGTGGCACTTGAACTTCCAGACAGAGAAAGTTAAATAACTCATAAAAATAAACTTCCTGGAATTTAACAGCATGGGATTTTTTTGTGTTGTCAGACTACATTAATTCTGCAGTATGGATACAGCCCTAGAATGTATCCACATTACACAGATATAGCACTTTGATAGCACTTCAAGTGCATTGTCTCCATGCTATCGAATCCTGGGATTTGTAGAATGGGTGAGATACATTGACTTTTCTGCTAGAGTGTTGTGGTGAGATTTAGCTGTGTCTAATAAATGAACAGGAGATAATTAAAAACACACACAAGCAAGCAGTAAGTTGTGATCAACCAATGAAAATCTTTCCCTACTCATGCATGTAATACTTTAATGGTGAAGGACCAGAACAGTTATACTGTTCCGAGTGCTATAAGTGGAATCTTCCACTGATTAATTATTGAAAAAATACATTTAGAGATATTTTTAGAGCTCATCCCATTTTAGCTGACGTTCTAATTGGTCTGTTTTAAGCTACATCAAAAACCACCTTTAATGCACCAAGAGTCAGAGAATGGCGTTGAATCAAAAGAGGGGTTGCGTAGCTTCCGAAAGTGTTGTAGTTTCACTACACAACCCTTGTACCATTGTACTACCTATAACACAATGTGCATTGTCTTGATGTCTTCCATTGCTCTTTGGGGAACAGGCCCCACACAAAAGTTTGTTGGGGGATAAACTTGCACAATTTTTTTTTATTGTGTCAGGAGTGACTTGAGAAACTGCAAGTCGCTTCTGGTATGAGAGAATTGGCCATCTGCAAGGACGTTGCCCAGGGGACGACCGGATGATTTGATGTTTTTATCATCCTTGTGGGAGGCTTCTCTCATGTCCCTGCATGAGGAGCTGGAGCTGATAGAGGGAGCTCATCCGCCTCTCTCCGGATTCGAACCTGCAACCTGTCGGTCTTCAGTCCTGCCAGCACAGAGGTTTAACCCACTGTGCCACCGGGGGCTCCACTTGCACAATGACTTAGGGTGCATCTACACTGCAGAATTAGTACGCTTTGGCACCACTTTAACTGCCCTGGCTCAATGCTTTGGAATCCTGGGATTTGTAGTTTGGTGAGACATTAGCAGCCTTTGGAAGAAAAGACTTTGTAAAACCAGAATTTTCCATAGTACTGAGCCAGGGCAGCTAAAGTGCAGTCAAACTGCCTTCATTCTAGACCAGGGGTCCTCAAACTTTTTAAACAGAGGGCCAGGTCACTGTCCCTCAAACTGTTGGAGGGCCGAATTATAATTTGAAAAAGATATGAATGAATTCCTATACACACTGCACATATCTTATTTGTAGTGCAAAAAAACACTTACAAACAACATACTAATTAAAATGAAGAACAATTTTAACAACTATAAATTTATTAGTATTTTAGTGGGATGCGTGGGCTTGCTTTAGGCCAGGGGTCCTCAAACTACGGCTCGGGGGCCGCATATGGCCCCCCAAGGTCATTTACCTGGCCCTCACTCAGAGTCAACCTAAGTCTGAAATGACTTGAAAGCACACAACAACAAGAATAACAACAACAACAACAACAACAACAATCCTATCTCATAAGTCAAAAGCAGGCCCACACTTCCTATTGAAATATTAATAAGTTTAATTTGTTTTAATTATTGTATTGTTTTAAAGGGGTTTTTTGCACTACAAATTAGATATGTGCAGTGTGCATAGGAATTTATTCATTTTTTTTTTCAAATTATAATCCGGCCCTCCAACAGTTTGAGGTATTATGACCTGGCCCTCTGTTTAAAAAGTTTGAGGACCCCTGCTTTAGGCTGATGAGATAGGATTGTTGTTGTTGTTGTGTGCTTTCAAGTCATTTTAGACTTAGGTTGACCCTGAGCAAGGGCCAGGTAAATGACCTTGGAAGGCTGTATCCAGCCCCTGGGCCTTAGTTTGAGGACCCCTGTTCTAGACTATAGATGCATCTTCGAAAAGTGAAACTGGTTGTATATCTCTTACATAGAATATAGCTCTGCTAGCACAATTTTAATCGTGAAATGTGAAATGTCTGAAAGATACAACTACTAGCAAAAAAGGTTATCAACATGATTCTCGCCAATGTTTCCAGGTATAAATTGTATTTGTATCTCACTTTTCTCCTAGATTGGGAGACGGTGGCATTTCTCTCTCTTACACACACAAAGACATAATACACTCCTTTTGGGTACTTATTTTCTTAATATGTGTACATGAGAAATCCCTTCGGGGAGAATAGAAAAAAAATATTCCAAACTAATTGGAAAACAATTGCAAATCACATTTCTTGAGACTTGGGAAATCCCAATGAGAGTATAGTAATAGACTGATACGAATCATTCCAATGCACATATAGGGTTGTTTTCACTGAAAACAGCATTTTCTGTGTAGCAAATAGCACATTTTTGCTTTACTGTACAGATAATACTCCCACACATATGCACACATACAGACTCAAAGTGTGTGTGAATTTTCTGCAGAATAATCCGTGAATTGCGAATATTTGTTTATTTACGACATTTCTACCCTGCCTTTCTGCAGCCCGGAGGTGACTCAAGGTGGCTTTACAGCCAAGCAGCCATTCGATGCCTTCAACAATAAGCAACTAAAAACAACATTTAAAACAGAATTATAAAATACATACATTAGGCCTTTAAAAACATATAAAGCCAATATCTTGATTTTAACTATGAGACGAGATGAGATGTTATGATGTTTATTGATTGTTATAATGTTATTCTTTTAACTTGTTTTTAACTGTTTTTATCATGTTTAAGTATTGCATTTGCTTTGTTAACCGCTCTGAGTCGCCCTGAGGGTTGAGAAGAGCAGTATAGTAATATAGTAAATAAAATCTTCAGTTAGCCTCGTTTGAGCCATTCCAATATTCAATAATTCCGTGTTTATTTATTTAAAACTTTTATGTCCTGATCTTCTCTATCTCCCTAGAGGGACTCTTCATTTCCAAAGGCTTGTTCAAAAAGCCACATTTTTACTTTTTATGGAAGGATATGAGGGAGGGGGGCTGATCTAGTATCCCTAGGAAGGGAATTCCACAGCTGAGGGGCCACCACTGAGAAAGCCCTCTCTCTCATCCCTGCCAGTTGCACCTATGCAGAAGGCAGAACCGAGAACAGGGCCTTCCCAAATGATCTTAAACTCTTAAGTCTGGAGAACAAGCCCTATGAAGAGCGGCTTAAGGAGCTGGGCATGTTTAGCCTGAAGAAGAGAAGGCTGAGAGCAGATATGATAGCCATGTATAAATATGTGAGAGGAAGCCACAGGGAGGAGGGAGCAAGCTTGTTTTTTGCTTCCTTGGAGACTAGGACGCGAAACAATGGCTTCAAACTATAAGAAAGGAGATTCCATCTGAACATGAGGAAGAACTTCCTGACTGTGAGAGCCGTTCAGCAGTGGAACTCTCTGCCCCGGAGTGTGGTGGAGGCTCCTTCTTTGGAAGCTTTTAAACAGAGGCTGGATGGCCATCTGTCAGGGGTGATTTGAATGCAATATTCCTGCTTCTTGGCAGGGGGTTGGACTGGATGGCCCATGAGGTCTCTTCTAACTCTTTGATACTATGATTCTTAGATGGTTAGTAGGGAGATATACGTTTGGACAGGTAAGCTGGGCTTACTATTGTTTTCAAAGACTTCCTCACTGCGGGAATAAAACTATTAAACTTCCTTGTTCTCTACTTTTCACCAAATCAATGCCTTAAATACCAGAGCTGTTTTAGCATGAAAACATACAGAAAGCGCCATAGGCACATGCTTCCCATATTCACAATCATTTCCTCATGTTAGGGTAAGGGAAAAGAGAGTTAACCTATGGCAACTTCTAATTTTAAAATATAGCTGTGTGAATTGGCAATTAATAGCTTTCTTCATATCTATTTGTCAAGCTACTTGTTTTCTACCCAGTTCTTCTGAAAGTTCCCATTGTGAATAGTGACCCGCAAACTGACCCTGTCATAATTTGTAATTAACTCAC